AGTATGATCCTCGCGCTGACAGAGAAGCGTGTTGTGCCCACAAAGAAGCGCAACAGGAAAAAGAAGAGCTCGCGCGGCAAGGACACAGCAGAGAGCAATGCAAGAGACGGAGCGCGAGCCATGGACGACTCATGCGGATTCGTGCTTGGAACGAGCGACGGAGCACGAGCCACGGACGGCACGCGTGGCTTCGTGCTTGAGGCGACCGACGCCACGGGGGCCGACCGAGGAGACTGGATCCTCGACAGTGGCGCGAACCAGCATCTCGTCAACGACGAGTCACCGCTACTCAACTCGACGGCTTGCAGCCACGAGATCGCAATGGCAGAGGCGAGTCGCTTCACCTGACGCGTGTCGGCAGCGTGCGCCTCGAGGTTCTCGCGCGTGGCGCGAAGGCTGTCGTGACGCTTACGTACCTGGCTCCGCGACTTTCAAAGAACATTGTGTCGTACGGCAAGCTCGAGAACAAAGGGTTTGCCCTCGTGCACGACGGCGACGAGCGCTCGCTCGCTCGGCGCAGCGATGGTGCAATCTCGTTCGATGTCGTGATCGATAGTAACGTGCTGTATGTCGTGACGAGGGCCTCGCAAGACAAGAAGGGTGCAGGCGGCCACGCATCATGGCGGCGCTCGAAGCGCATGCAACGGAAACCACCGCCGACGAGCCGCACGAAGCCTCGCTGTTGCATTGGCACCAGCGACTCGGCCACCTCGCATTCGACACGATCGAACGCATGGCGCGAGACCCGGCATCGGGCATTCGACTGAGCAGCAACAAACGCATGGCGTGCGTGTTGTGCCTCGAGGGCAAGCAGACGCGCAACGCGCAGTCGCAACAGGACAGCGGCGCGCACTCGCCCATCGATCGCATCGACGGCGTCATCTCCTCGGACCTCAAGGGTCCCATGACGCCGCAGGATCGGCTCAGCAATCGTTACCTTGTGAACTTCATTGATCACAAGAGCAACTACTGCCGAGTCTTCCTCGCGCGCACAAAAGACGCTGCGGCGAAGCAATTTGAGGCATTCCTCGTTCACTTCGAGAAGCTCTTCGGATTCAATATTCACGTTCTCCGCACGGAGGGAGGCGGCGAATACGCCAACGTGGACCTATTCTGCGAGCGCACGGGCGTCGCTCGCCAAGTGTCGGAGGCGCGCAACCAAGCTTCAAACGGCAAGGCGGAACGAATGCACCGCACAGTGCTGAACCTCGCGCGTAGTATGATGTTTGCCTGCGCGCTGCCACTGACGTTCTGGGGAGACGCGGTGCAATACGCCGTGCACATCCTCAACCGGAGCCCCACGCGAGCAAGCGCAAAGAGAGCGTCACCACTCGTGTTCTGACGGGAATGACGCCGGATCTGTGCGGAATCGTCGTCTTCGGCTCCCCGTGCGACGTGTACAGAGACCTGGGCAAGAACTCGTTGCTGCAGCGCTCGAAACGCGCCATTATTGTCGGCGTCAGCGAAGAAACCAAGGGCTACAAGGTGCTACTACCGCGTGACAACAAAGTGGTCGTCACGCAGCACATCAAGAACATCAAGACGTTGACGGAGGCGCAAAACGCGCAACTTCAGCGCGCGATGGACGTCGGCGATCGAGCTGTAGACCTGGAAGAGTCGGACATACCAGCAGCAGCAGCGGTGAACGATGGTCGCGCAGAGGAAAGCAGTGCGACGCGGAAAAAGAGAGGAAAGCGATGGACGCGGGCGGTGCATGGAACACGCGGTGCGTTAAAACGCACAGAAGCGGCTGCTCGTCAGGAGGAGGCAGTCGCGAGCGGAGAGGTCGTAAACGCTGTTTTTGAGCACGATCCGCTTAACTACGGACAGGCGATGCGCAGCGTCAAGCGCGAAGAGTGGGAGAAGGCTATGCAAAAGTAGATTGCCGCGCTTGAGGCCAACGACGTCTGGACAATCACAAAGCGAACGCCAGGGACGCACGCGTTGCACACCAAATGGGTCTAAAAGACCAAGACGGATGCGCAGGGCTACCTCGAGCGGCTGAAGGCGAGATTGGTGGCATGCGGCAACGAGCAGGTGCTCGGCGTCGACTACACGCTCACCTTCGCTGCCGTGATGAACTTGTCGACGGTCAAAGTGATCCTGGCGCTTGCGGCGACGTGGGGGGTGCCTGCCAAGCACTAGGCCATCCCCAACGCCTACGTCAAAGCCGACAAGGAGCCTCACCTCCGCATCTTCCTTCAGATGCCGCGCGGCATGCCGGTATCGGAGGAGACGCTGCGAGCGCATGGCGTTGCGAACGCGAGTGAGCTGGTTCTGGAGCTGAGAAAGAGCCTGTATGGTCTCAAACAGGCAGCCGTCTGTGGAGCCATCTGCTGCACTCGAAGCTCACTGTTGCTGGTTTCACGCGGTGCGAGAGCGACATGTGCTTCTACTGGAAGCGCGACGGCGACGACCTCGTCGTGGTCGGCTTGTATGTCGACGATCTCCTCGCGAAAGGGACGAGCGCGGAAGCGGTCTAGCGGTTCTTCGAAAGACTTTGCTTTGTTGTCGATTAAGGACCTGGGGCGGATTAGCAAGTTTCTGGGCATGCGCGTGACGCACAATGGTCAGCGCGGGTACACGCTCGATCAGGAGGAGGCCATCGGAGACCTCCTGCGCGACAACGGGCTCGCCGACGCCAACTCGACGTAAACGCCGATCGACGACAGCTGCTACGAGCTGGAGGAGGGCGATGCGAATCTTCTTGGGACGCCAAGCGCGCGACCAGGACCGACAGTGCGCCAGTTCCAGTCGCTGGTCGGCTCGCTTCTCTGGGTGGCGCGTTGCACGCGCCCCGACATAGCATTTGCGGTGCACAAGGTCAAGAGACGAGCACATGCGCCTCGACTGGCAGACTGGAAGCTGGCGAAATGGGTCGCAGCGATACCTCAAGGGTACGGCGGCGCTCAAGGTCGCAATGATTCCAGAAGACAACCCGGGTACGGTGATGTGACTGGAAGCGTTTAGCGACGCGGATTTTGCCGCCGACAAGACGAACCGGAAGTTAATGACGGGTGGCATCGTGATGCTGAACGGGATGGCCGTCAGCTAAGGTGCGCGGAAGCAGGGAGGCGTATCCCTGTCGACGATGGAGGCGGAGTTTGTTGCGGCGAGTGAGGTCGCGCGAGAGCTGCTCGGCCTGCGTGAGATGTTGCGCGAAGTGGGCGTGGAGCCCAAACTCCTGATGCAGTTGCGAGTGGACAACCAAGCGGCAATCGCGCAGATCGCGGGTGAGGCATCGTCGCTGAAGGCGAAACACTTGGATGTGCGCCTCAAGTTCTTGTGCGACTACTCGCGTCGCGGCTTTATCGTGGCGAGCTACGTCAGGTCGGAGCAGATGCTCGCAGACCTCCTCACGAAGGCGTTGGACGCGACGAAGCTCTCGACACTGCGCGCGCTCGTGCACATCATGTAAGGAAAGATCAAGAACGATCAAGGGTGTTAAAGGACGTTGGAGGGTGGAGTAAGGGAAGAACGGAGGCGTAATCAAGGAGGAGTGTTGGAAGTTGATGTTGAAGATTATGAGTTCGATTAGCGCCAGCCGTCAATCCGGTCAGGGATAGTCAGTGCAAGATGGTAGCAGACAAGTTGGCCAGCAGCCATCTTTCGTTGAGGCGGTTGGAGCACAGACATTTAGGAGAACGAGTGGCTAGGAGGCAGACAGAAGAGATAACTAGTAAATATCAATACAGAATATTATTGTTAATCTACCGCTTCCTTCTCGCAACACGCATCTTGCCTACATAATGGCTGATAGCGATGCCGATTTTGCTGCTGACAAGACTGACCGGAAATCGGTCACTGGAGGCTATATTGAAGTGGCAGGTTATGCCGGTTGTATAACATACTCGCATACAAGGGGGTGGTGGTCTCTCTCTACCATGAGAGCATAATCTACTGTGGTGTCGGTCGTGGTTGCAGAGACGATTGAAATTAAACAATTGCTTGTGGAAATTTGTGAGATGTCAAATTCGCCTAAAGTCGATAATCAAGCAGCACTAAAACAACTTAATGGAAGATCTCTATTAGAGGCAATACTTTGACGTGCAAATCAAGTTCGTGGGGTCGCACGCCAGATGTGGGGTTCTCAAGGCCTCATTTTGTGAAGGTTCTTGCATGTCAGCGACATGATGGCGAAGGCACTTCATGCACCGAGTCTAAAAAAACTTCAAGCTCTTGTCGGATCGCATCAACATGAGTGAGCTATGCCATCACCAAGATGCGCGATTGAAACATTAAAATCGAAAATACGCATGATGGAAGAGTGTTAGAATTTTGTTGACATTACGTTCGTGCTAACGAACACTGGAGGAGATATCATTGTTAGTCTGATGCGTGCTGTCTTTTCTACCTATCGACAAAATTATCATGCAATTACTTAGGTGTAGAGCGATTGGCGAATATAATAAGTTTGTAATATACTTTCCCTATTACCTTATCTACCACCAAAGGTTCGAGGATCGCCTCTGCGTCGAGCTTGCTCCTCAAGCACAATTTGGTGAAGTCGCGTCTCCATTTTGCCACGATTGTCGTCCCTCGTGTGCTGTAGCAAGAGAGAGAGAGAATGAAACGAGTCAGGGGTCTTATAATCGTGTAGCCATGACGAAATGCGTCATCAGTAGTACCATTTGAGCTTTTGGGTACTTTGAAAAAAGGATTTGCGTCCTTTAATGGGGAAATAGCACGATATGTAACAAAAGGCAGACCGCTGCTGACTTGAAGCCGTATAAAGCAACCTACGCGCAACCTGTTGCGTGTGGCCCACACTCCAATAGAATTTACGTAGATGGAGAAAACGATTTTCTGCTAAAATCCTGATGGATGGTGGCGGATACCTGCAAAATGCTTGATAGATGGCAATGGATGCTGCTTGCTAGTGAAAAATGAGCTTTCTCTTTGTTCATACTGCAAACTGAATACTAGAGTCGTTGTGGTCGTGCTTGCTAATGCCCAAACTATCGTCTCGCCAGCTCATGCTGTTGTTTGCATTGGTAATAATGGCAATAACGTCTATCAATCAAGTCGCCAGTCAGTTTACTGGTGGCACAACGCTCTTTGGAAATTCCCAGGCAATTCAACCGTCGACGAAGCGGTCTCAGATGATTCCAGCGACCTCCAGTACAAGGTCGACGTCTTCTTCGTCCGGCTCAAGTGGTGACAAGTCCAGTGATGATGGCAGCAGCTCCTATAGTTTCCTGGGCGGAAAAGATGGAGAAAATAGCGACAGTGGCAGTTGGAGTTGGAGTATGGAGTCGGGGTCTGGCAGTTTGAGCTTGGAATATGAATGTGACTGCCGATCGGTCCGTCGTGTCTCGCTTATGGGAGCTTCGGACTACTGCCTTGCGCCAGGTGCTTTACTAAGCAGCAAGTGTGGTAACGTTGATCTTGGTGAAAGTGGTAGTTGTCCAATGACTGGAGCTCAACCGTGCTCTGTCAAAGGCCACGTTCTGGCAAACGACTCTTTTTGTGCGCTGGACAACAAGGATGAGACGTACAAATGCGTAGCCAGCAAGAACGACTTGGAGATCCAAAAGAACGGAAAAAAGAAGAGAAAAAAATCCAGTCGCCACCATGGGCCAGAGTCGTCTATGAGCATGGCTTCACCGCATCTGCTGTGGACGGCGCGTCACGTACTGGCGGTCGTGGTTTGCATGGCATTCGGGATGATAGCTGTAGTGTAGGACGTACACACTAGTTGGCGGTCTGTTTAAGTTGATTGTCACGGCTACAAATTCTACAGACTGCGATGCTACAGACTGCGATGCTACAAAATGAACGCTTATAACAGCATATTTGTTAAACATAGGAAAGTTGTTAGCTTCCTAGCCCTATGCCATTATCGTCAGTTGTCCGTCTTGCTGTCGTCGGGTTGAAGCACAAAGTTGTGGAGACGCAACCACTTATACGAGGTAAAGTAGTCCTGAGTCACGAGCATTAGTGGCAACATGACACATACCTGTGCGATGATTAGCCCCATTAGGTTCTCAGCGGTTGTGTGAAAGTACGATGCCGTAAAGAAGAGCAAGTACGTCGCCATTCCCCCAACGATGACGATCCATGAGCGTAGCATCGTACATTTCAAACTCGGTCCAACACTCTCGACGTTCAGTGCAAACCACTCGAACAGTAAGATCGCCATGTAGTGACTCACCAGAAGGACGATATGATCCGAGTGGTCAAAACCAATCGGACATCGCTTGCCACGACGTCGATCGGCGTACCAGCACGACTGATCCGAGCTCCCTAAGACAAGGTACCCTAATTTCTTCTCCACCTGACCAAGTCCCATGTACAGCACTACTGTCCGTAACGTCATCACTGCAGCATACAGCAAACCACGACGCACATACACTCGAACGCGACGCATGGTCACGTCCGGCCCAAGCATCATAGACCCATAATTGAGCACTAATGCTGACAGCGGGATCACCCATGCTCCCTACGGTATAATTAACAATAAGACACGTGCTAGAATCTATTCTATACCTTGTCCGGATAATGAACGCACTTTAAGAGACCCCAGCACGGGCATGAGGTCCATGCCAATGTAACAAGGAGCGTCTGCGTAGCCTCCCGGTTCGTTCTTGCAGCAAATGGTCTCTGAGTTATCTGGTGCATCTACACGTAACCAATTGGAGTCACATCTAATAACAAAACATTTCACATAAGGGCAAAACGTAACGTTTTTTAGGCAATCTGTTGTGGTTAAATAATTGTAGTATTTATGGTACGTACTCGCCCTGGACTCGCACAAATTTCTGTGGAAAGCAATACGACGTGTAGAAAACGAAAATCAGTAGCAGTGCATTTACAATGAGAAAAATACGCCGCATCTTCATCTTGTGCAGTGTCAATAGCACGTGCTGCCTCGCCGAGAGCTTCTTAAGCGCTGTCGATCTATCCCCGAACATGTTGATTTTGTGAAGGTGACACTACAAACATTAAAATCGAATCGTGTGTCATACACAAAAGGAAAACGCAACAATTTTTAATAAGAAAAATTCACGTTCAATTCGTCCTAAACCGTTATATTGAATGCTGGGGAGATAGCATCGATTAAGAAAGATTAAGAAAGAAATTGGTCGTCGCTCTTGAGTTCAGAAGCTCGTAGAGGTCGTTAGCTCGTAGAGGTCGTTGGATTAAAACTTGACAATACTCAGACGTTAATGTGGAGAAGTGTCAAGTCAATCAGGGCACCAATATATATATGGACAGTTGGCAAGAGAAATTTAGGATAGTGAATGACAACAACAAGGCCTCGCATATTCACAATATCGCACAAGGCCCAAATTCATGAAAAGTATAAAAAAACCAACATTGCAGAGCCGATACAAGTACCAGGGTTCTAAGCTCAGAACCCCAGGACCCCAAGCCTAGGGCCCCGACCGTTCAGAAATGGTACACGGAAGGCCTAAGATTATGAAAAGTAAAGGTTCCAAGGAGCCAATTCTGCCTCCAAGAGTCGACACTTGGCGCTCCTCTGAGAGAGGTGTAGGGTTACAAGAAAAAGCATACAAAGTATATGTAACGGGGCTAAAACGTACCGTCACTAGCTTACACGCGCGCTTGAGGTAGACTCAAGCCCAAGTATTAGGTATTAAGTAAATTTAACTCTGATTTTATATTTTGGTTTTAATTCGTACTAATTACGAAGATTTGGTCGTAATAAATACGACAGTGTTCCCGCCTTTCGGGAACCACACAATTTCAGGTTGATTTATCATTGGTCCATATTGGGACTTTAGGTCCCAATAATAAACCAATAATAAATTGCCACGCTGTGCCCGCTATTCGGGCCCAGCACCTGTCTACACATGTAATTGTTTATTTGTGTTAACTATGTGTGTAATGTAGCCCATTACATCACCCTCTTCTCATGACAGCACTCACCAACCGTGAGTGCTCAACTGTCGAAAACCCTTCGCCCACAAACGAACAAGCAATGTCCGGAGACCCAGAACCCAATCCAGCAGGACGCCCAAGAAACATCAGCGGGAGTGCAACAACCAGCATCTTGGCGCGGCAACTCATACCTTGGTCACTGTACGACTTGTCCGGAGCTCACGCTCCGGACTTGCTGGACACGATGCGGGACTACTTCCGCCGATTACGAAAACTGCGCGGAAAGGGCCTTGATGGAATCGAGTATGAAGCCCTGGAACGTTCTTGGTGTGCCTTCATCAAACGTTGTAATCGGATCCTCGAGGATGGTAGCAGTTTCCAATTATGGCTCACCAATCGAGAGGAGCTTCGCGCCGATCGCTTCATCGGCGCGCTACGCGAAAGGGTGTGTGAGGATGCTTGGAATGAGGACCGCCTCTGCTTCGTTCATGTCAATGAAGGATGCCAGTCTTGTGACTCGACTCCACGCCCAACTCATGACGAATGGCGACGACACATCGCTGAGTGTCCACTCAGCGAACGCAAACGAAGTTGGATTGCAAACTTTATGCGAAGTCTGAGCGATCGGAGAAGCGCATTTATTCGTGGTGCGCCTTGATGGCAGCACCACTCGCGACAGCGGAGTCAATCTCCGCGGAATCATCAGCGCAGGGCAGCGAAACTTTCGCTTGTCCGTCCTGCTTCGCGATTCTCGCCTCGCAATCGTGATGTGTATTCACCACGACGTTCTGTTTCACGGCATCGTTCTCAATCTCGTTCTCGTCATTGTTCTCAATCTCGACGACGTAGATCTTCTTACCGCTTTCGTTTGTCACGAGAGCGTTCGCGTGCTCGCCCGCCTTGGTATAGCCCGACTTCGTGGCTTCATACGACAGAACCACATCTGGAACGTCACGAAGGAGTGAGGAACGTGGTTCCCATGTATCCTGCTCGGGAGGGAATCCAATCCAACGTACTCGGTACCTGCGCGCGGATGGAATCGCGCGCTTCTCATGTGCCGACAGCAGTGCTGATTGTGGAGGGTCTTCGTGACCCACAATGCGGTCTACAATCCAGCGCACCTGTCCCTCCGCATCAACAAGCGGAGAAGGGACCTCGCGATGGTAATGCTGGCGTCCTGGTTGCCCAGGACGATGTTGATCAGGCCGTGAATATAGCTGCCGATGCTCGGCTGGAGGCTGAGGCTGCCAGTGAACGTGCTGCCCAGGCGGAGAAGACTTCGAGTGAGATCCGGCAGTCGAACCGTGAACTGCTCGAACGGATAAGGGTTCTGGAGCGCCAGGTTCTTGGTCAGGTTCAGACGGGATCGAGGCCCCGCCCCCTGTCATCGGCGCGTCGAGCACGACGGGAAGACCGTTCGACTTACGGACCCCTGAAGCCGGCATCGGAGCCAAGCCGTGAAGTGTAGCCTGACGATATTTCTTCAGCCGCCCGACATAGAATGTCGGGTGGAGTCGCATTGAAGAGAGAACGTCGAGTGTATAAGCGTCGCCGAATGCCTTCAGAACCTTAAATGGACCGATGAAGCGTGGCGCGAGTTTTCTCGCGCCCAGGTTAGTGACCGCTGAATCCCTTAAACCTTCCGTCGATAATAATACACGGTCACCTTTCTCAAACTTGCTCATGTTCTTTCTGCCATGTTTGTCAGCGTTCTCCTCCTGTAGGTCTACAGCAGTTTGTAGTGCGTCGCGTACAAACCTGGTGATGGCTTGACGTTGGAGTATAAATTCCGACACAGCCATGTCATCAATTGTTCGCGCCGATTCAATCGGCGCGTAGTTGGCAGTAGGTGAACGTTTACCCGAAGACGGGTCAATCAATGTCTGCGCAGTCCATCGAGAAAATGGGGACGCCACGTCAGGTGGCGTCAAAGTAGCCGTCTTTGCCTTCGATCGAGTTACTGCATTCGCGCTCAAAATACCGTGAGCTGCACTCGATCCTTGTTTATCACCTTTATCCCCCCCAGAGTGGAGACACTAGGTGTTGTGGGTCGCCCCACGGCCAGGACAGTAGGAACACGAGGGTGACGAGCCGAATTCACAAAAAATGGCGTTAACCCTGTTGACGCGTGTACGGCGTTGTTGAGTGCGAACTCAGCGAGTGGTAAAAATGCACTCCAACTTGTAAATGACGTAGCATAACTCCGAAGAACATCTTCGAGGACTCGGTTCACGCGCTCGGTCTGCCCATCCGTTGTCGGATGGGCCAGTCGACATTAACAATTTTGTCCCGAGGAGATCGAACAGTGACGTCCAAATTGCGGACGTAAATCGCGGATCACGGTCCGAAACAATGTTTTCTGGAAGGCCATGATGAAGGAACACCGCGTCGATGAAGTGCGCCGCGGTCTCTGCCGAGGTGACCTTAGCGTAAACAGGCACGAGATGTGTCATCTTGCTAATCTGTCAACAAAATCAGGATACCCGCACGACCTTGACTATCGGGCGCAACCGAAGATGAAGTCCATCGAAACTGATGTGGTGGAGTGGCGATCACAAAATTTCTGATGTGATCCCGACTCTCCACTGGCGCCCAGACGACCGACTAACGGAGGGGGTACCCCGTATCCGTGTAACTTTCCTTCCTCACCTTGTGTACCCGTCGGTAGGGCGGGCTGCACTCTTCTCGGTGGACTTGAGTCGATGCTGAACTTGACCAGGGTTGGGGATTGGTCGGGGGGTCGATCACGTGGAAAATCCTCACGCGATCGAAAGTTGTATGGGGGGTGCTCTATGAGTCACCCTGGTCTGCCTTGAGACCGCCTTATCCAAATGTAGATACTTGATCCACTTGATTTCACTTGATCTTCTGACCACTTGAGCCGTCTCGATCTTGTGCCTTGTCCTTTACGTTGTATACTGCGTCCGATCGCAGGGGGGTTTTGCTTGGGTTGAGAGTTCTTGTAATCCCTGGCCAAACAATCCAGGGATATCACTTGTCTTAGCGTAGCAGAAGCTCTTGATCGTCGGGGGCCAAAGTTATCCGCCCGGAAGAGAAGTCTGCGTGCGTGCTTAGAAGTAAAAGAAACTCTGTTTAATGTTAACCAATGAAATACCAAATCCTACGATTATGCCTATCTGTATGACAGTACCTACTGCCGCGTGTCGTCTCTTTCAGGAAAATCAGATCTCGGTATGTGGTCCACTTCGGATACCATCGCGATCTTGATCCGTCGATCGAGGTTACGATCGATCTGTAACCAGTTACATCTCGCGATCGGCTTTCTAGATCGAGGTTACGATCGTCGATCACACTTGTATCACGATCGTCGATCACACTTGCCGATCACGATCGTCGATCCGCGGATCGATCAGGTTACGACGATTGTAACCAGTTACATCTCGCGATCGCTTCTGATCGAGGTTACGATCGTCGATCACACTTGTCCGCCCCAACGACGCGATCACACTTGTCGATCACGATCGTCGATCGCGTTGATCCGGATGAGTCGATCGATAAATAACCGGCGCCGACGAGGCGCCGATCACACTTGCCGATCACGATCGTCGATCCATCGCGATCTTGATCCGTCGATCGAGGTTACGATCGATCTGTAACCAGTTACATCTCGCGATCGGCTTTCTAGATCGAGGTTACGATCGTCGATCACACTTGTCACGATCGCGACCGCGACACGTCGCCCACACGATCGTCGATCACACTTGTTGATCACGATCGACGATCACCCTTGCTGATCACGATCGACGATTGCGATCGAGCGATCTCCCACCCTGATCGTCATCACCGCCGCGTACTCCTCGGCCAACCGTGGCCATCACATGATCGATCCAGATAAGCTATCATTCCAATACAATAGCCAAGTATAAACTATGCGATCATTCATCGATAGATCTTGATCGCTCCCATACAATAGCCAAGTATAATCCATAGGATATGACTTCCGCCGTGTAAGTGGTCCACATTATAATCACTTTCGATATTGTCGATCAAATTTTTCTTGATCGACTTCACCACAGCCGTCCCCTGCGCTGATAACCGGCATACAGTG